TACTGCACTCACAACAGAGCCTACATTCTGCTGAGTGAAGAAATAAACCCAGTGAAGAAATTCGGCTTCCACTATTTCATCAATGTAAAAATGTATAATTCATCAGAAATTTTTCTTTGTGATACTTTCTTTAATGTGAAAATCATGCAAGTATGTGAACTCCAGTAATCATTCAATTTATGCTTAATTCTGTATATGTTTGTGCTAGAGTTAAAGCACTTACATTATTTTAAATGGAGTAGCCAGCTCTATTGACTCTTCTAACATTTTTCCACTAACATTTTTCTAAGAGTTCACCAGAATTCCTCCTTACAGGCCTTTTGTTTGGCCCTTCTCTAAGCAGAGATACTGTGTAGCTTCAAACAAATGAGAAACTATTCGCCAGTGATTGACAGGTTGATTTTCAGTTCTTATTCAAAATATTTTATTTGATTTCTCACATGGTAGCTACTATCTTTGAAATTTTCTTATGGATTTAGGATACTGTGTTGTTCTTTTAATGTAAGTTATCACTTCATAGTTGTATTTTAATTGACAGTTGCATATTCAGGGGTAATGACCAGACATTATTACACAAAAAAAGTTTCCTTTTTTGTATGAAATTAAAAGCACTGTTCTGCTCCCCACTCTGTCTCTGGTGAAGCCTCTCGCCGCCCCTGAGCCTCTGGCCTGTACCCTAGTTCTGTATGCACAAATAAATAAATCTTTAAAAAAAAAAAAGAAATTAAAAGCACCAAGACAAGTACTTTTCAGCAAGAGAAATAAACAGGTAAATATTAAAACCAAAGTGACAGGCATTTCTACTCCAAATTTAGAACTAGCTCATTCAAAACAAACAAACAAACAAAAAGGATGCAAAGCAGTGTGATAGTTGAGGATAAGTTTAGCTCTTTCTTGGTCCTTGAATTTTTGGGTCCTTAAATGAGCTCCCTTACAGCTAATTTAGAAATTAAATTGTTTGCACAGAAAAAATCACCCAAATAACAAGGTTCTAGCTGTTAACAATATTTTGGATATTCGCCACTTAGGTATGGTAGCACAGGGTGTATAAAGCCACAAGAAAACACATAACTTGCGTCAACGTGCCTTCATATCTCTCCCTGTGCACATCTGTTCCCACTGACAAGCCCATCACGTGAGGTGGCAGCGAGAGCCTCCTGCCAGAGCAGAAAAGAGCTGGTTTGCTGCACTGTGGCTTCTCCACCTCTTGCAGCTGGAAACAGCCTCTGTGGTGAGCTGTTGGGTGAGCTTGGGGTTCTCATTATCAACTAACACATTGAAGATGACAAGTTGCTTACTTCCTGACGTGTAAAGCTCAGTGTTTTTCACTAAGCATCACTGATGTTGCACTAAGCCTTTTCTCTCTCTCTCTCTCTCTCTCTCTCTCTTTTTCAGGATAATCCCTCTGTTGTGAAGCTCTATTGTCATTGCCTGCTGATAAAATTTAGGCAGAAAGAAAAGACTAGGGGAGTAAAGTCTCCTCAAGAATTGTAAGACAATAGGATTCAGATAAATAGAAATCTGTCAGCCGGAGAACTCACCTACTAACTCCTATACTTAACTAAGTCATGTAGTGACATTCAGACAATCTAAGTGGGAGGTAGATGATAGCTAAATAGAGATGATAGATAGATAGATAGATACACAGATAGATAGATAGGATAGTTAGAGAACAGAAAATATATAGGGAGAATATATATATTCTGGATAACAGAAAATATATACACACACATACACTCAAATATATTTGCGTAAATGTGATAATGTTTGAAGAAGTTTGACATTTAGTAGTATGTGTGACGTATATAAATCAGCCTTTTATACTACTTTTCTAGGCATGTTTAAATCTGAAATTATGTCAAAAATTAAAGCAAGCAATCAGAAACCAAAATACACTTGATAATTTTCTCTTATTTACTATATCTAATACATAATTAAGTCTGATTTATACATAATTTGGCCTGTACATGTGTGCACACTCGTTTGTGTATTTTAGTCTTAATTTCTTATCACTTTCGATACTATCAGTTCTGCAACAATGACTCCTTGCAAAAGCTTGACTTTTTAAAATAATTAATCTGTTTGTTAAAGATTTATTTATGTATTTTGTGTAGAAGAACTAGAGAATAGGACAGACGTGCAGGGGGTGAGAGGATTCATCAGAGACAGAGTGAGGAGCAGAACAGATGGATCTACTGAAACACACTGCTGAGGGGAGCAGTGGGCATCACAGTAGTAGTGCTGAGACTTACTCACTAGCCACAGGGAGGCCCAATTACTTGTTGTTTTTTTTTTAAAATATATATTTATTTATGCATATAGAACTGAGGTATAAAGGACAGAAGTGCAGAGACAGTGAAAGGATTCACCAGAGACAGAGTGGGGAGCAGAACAGGCCAACTGATAAAGTACACTGCTGAGGGGAGCAGCGGGCAGGTGAGGAGAGGTCTGTCGCACCATGTGGATCCTTGGGGTGGGGATCATACTTGCACTGAAGCAGCTGTAGCCAGCTCGCAATGCTGTGTCTTAAGCAGTTGCACCACCAGGGAGAGCCCACTTACATTCTTAAACATGTGAAACTAAGGAATTAAATCATGAAAATAGAAATTTTGTTTGTCATTTTTCTTTTTTTAGAAGTTCTGTGCTTCATTGATGTCTTCAGCAGTGGTCTGTGGCCCCAGACCACTGCGGTGTGTGACTGTGAAGGGGGAGGAGCAGGAGGCTCTTTGTGACCTGTGTCAGTTTGGGGACTTTAAGGATTGAGAGTAACCTGAAGATGTGACAGTCTGGTTTACAGTGTTTAAGTTCCTTCCCCCAGGGTTATATTAGACTATTTCCCCCTCTGCCACCCACCTTTGGGACCCTGTCCTTCACTCTATCGCAAGGTCTTTTCTCTTGCTGCTTGTTTGTTTCAAAATACCTTTCCCTGAATCCCTGCTGTCTTGCTAATAAACCTGTTCATTTCTAAGATCTCTCCAGAAATATAACCATACCAAGAGAGTCTTCATCTTTGCTCTAATCTGGCAACTCTTCCTCTTTGTCAAAATTATTTGTATTTGCATTGGGTATTTACTATTGTAATAACTACTACTATTGTAGTCACTGACTCACTGTCAAACCTCCCTCTAGTGTGTAAGCATGTGAAAACAGGCACAATATTTGATATGTACACATGTGGGTCTCAGGACTGAAGCTCAGAGTATAACTAATGGCGTGAAATATCCTTGTTGATGAATGAAGTAAATTTTGTTCACTTTATCCACTCCACTATTAACTACGCATTTTCAATCTCTTTATAACTAGGTACTAACAAAATTCAACTATCTTCTGGCCCTTAGCACCACATTGAACCATTATCTTCTCTTAAAAAGTGTATGTGGCTACAAAAACACTGATTCAAAAAGACACCTGCACCCCCATGTTTATTGCTGCTTTATTTACAACAGGAAAGACATGGAATCAACCCAAATGCCCAAAAGTAAATGACTGGAATAAAAAGAGGTGGTCCATATACACAAT